TTTAAATTTAGATGTTAGGAAACCATTACTACTGCTGAAGCTGATTTTAAAACATATCCCATTTGAGCTATTGCACACATGTCTAAATGGGATTTGGCAGGTGGATAAAAGATTTATTGATTCCTGTTTAAGGGATTGCTGCAGACTTGCTGTTTCAACAAGCTTCAAAGGAGGTTTGAGTCTAACAAAACAAACCGAACCCTGAAATCCTTTCCGCGTATTGCAACCCCCAAAATGACAAGAAGCCAGGACTAAGAAAGGCTCTAAACTACATGTGGAACAGCTGTTGTGTACTATTGCAAAAGCTCATGGGGAAAAATACTTGGAGGGTGGGGAGACTGGCTATTAATTAATCTTCAAATACTCAAGTAGCTTCTATACACAATAGTGCATACTCATCTAAAATCTAGATCTAGATTTACAGTATCTATAAGAATTGCTTATTCCCAGCTTTATTGGCCTTTGCTCTCATAGCTTCACCCAATGAAAATATAGAGATCTGGGATATTTAAGGCACCGGTTAGATGGTGAATTTCTATCAGATTAGAAACTGCTGTCTTCCCAGGTCTGGCAAGGTGTCTGAATTTTTGCTTTGATTATTTTAAATAGCATATCCCAAGTGGCAGAGCATTTGACTTGTGAGGAAAAAAATTCTACATAAATGACTGAGACTGGAAAGACAAAATAATACATAATGAGAAGTGTATGAAACATCTTAAGAGAAAGAAAATGTTAAACAAATTAATTCAAAGAAATTATAGAATTGGGAAATCCTTTAGAATTCATCTTCCTTATTTTATGGATGAGGCCCCCCAGCTGCTTAGAGGCCAGAGTCAAAATTTCTACCATCTAACACGTGCCTTCTCTTGCCTCATTCAGAGTTACACAAGAAGACACAGGAAAAGGACTGCCTTGGGATCCTGTGAGAAGCCAAGTGGCCTGGAAATCAGAAATCATGGACCATCCACCAGGAGCTACCATATTCTTAGACTTAAGAAGGTGATGTGACCTTCCTTTGAATTATACAGCGCTCAAGATCCTTCTACATTTTCAAAGAGAGTGGGGGAGACTCATATCCTCAATCTTAGGAAAAATAAAATGTATAAACAATTGATTAAGCTGCTTATATATCCACAACCCAATTAGGCTAAGAGGCATCAGTAGGTAGCCTGAGAGCCCACTTACCTATCGGCTGTGTCTTATGAAAACCTGTCCCTGTGTCTGCTATATTTCCAGAAGAGCATCAGGAAATATCAGATAAGTAGTCTCCTGGGTCATGCCAGAATGAAGCCAGCTTTCATAGGAAGTGCATGCCCCCCGCCTTTCTCTGCCTCCCATGATTACTGAGCACATGGTAGACCTAATTGTGGGATGGTGGAACCTGTCCATTTGCATTTATTCCATTCAATATCCCATTCCATCCCCGGTCTCCAGGCTGACTTTTTTTTTTTTCTTTTTCTTTTTGCAGTACTGGAGATTAAACACAGGGGCACTCTATTACTGAACTACATCTGTATCCAGACCTATTTTACTTTGACACAAGGTCTCCCTACATCGCCCCCATTGGTTTTGAACTTGCTATCCTCCTGCCTCAGCCTCCTGAATTGATCAGATTACAGGTGCACACCACCTTGTCTGGTGGATAACATTGTTTTCTTAGATGAAACACACAGTACATTTCAAAACCTGTTTTTCTTATAGCATGTCTGTGGGAAAAGTATGATACTCCATAAACTCCGGGCAGGATTTAAAAGTTTTATTTAATGCATTTGTTAGAATGAGGGACAAAGAGAGTCAAAGGCAGAGTGAGAGTGTGTGGCGTGAGGCCTGGAAAGTGGTTGTTGTGTGGCCATCAGGGAATAGGGAGTGTAAAAAGCTTCTTGCCTCATCTATAAAAACCAGAACCACTTGGCATCTCTCTAAGTAACAAATGGACCTAAGGGCTGGAGAGAAGGGCTGTTGGCAGGAAATAGTCCCCAGGGCTATGTGCATTTCAGACTGTGTGCATTTCCCTATAATGCATAGATCATAGATTACAGAGCTGTGTTCCTATATCTTTTCTACCTAAGGATTAAATTTTTCAGGTTCTGTTTTGTCTCACAATCACAATATCTGGAGATGAGAGAATAAATATGTATAATTTAGATGAGAAGAAACTGTAACTTTTGCTTTTGAGTTGCAAAGAAGAGGAAACAGGTGTAAAGAAACATTAAGAACAAAACAGAGAAGACAGTAGAGGTTTTGAATCTTGGGAAGGCTCCTTTCTCAACTTTTCAGATTTTTGTTTTAAATGAAAATCTGCTTTATAGAAACAATATACAATTGAACTGAAGTTTCAACCCCACCTCCATGTCTGAAGCTAGCTATATGCATATACTTTGAACAGAGCAGAGAACAAAGCAAGATTCCTAAAATCTCAGGCTGATTTGTTTTTCATTCCAAATCAATTTCTTCCAAAGCACTAAATTCAATGGTAGTCTAACAAATCTGCAAGAAGAAGGGACCCTTAGTGGATGTTGCAGCCTCAAAAACCTGAGTTAAATTTTAAATGTCTAGTTTGTCCCAGGGTAAACTTGTTGCTCTGCTTTATTTCTGTCTTTGAAACATGGAGACAGCAGATTGACTTGGTGCCACAAGAACTGTCTATAAAATAAGATGTCTCCATTTCTCTTCCTACACATTAGCAAAGGTAAAATGCCCTCAGTGACTCACCCTACTTGTTGATTATCTGTTGACTGTACCCCTTTCCTAGATATGAAAAAAAAGCAAACCATCATCTGTTGAAAAACTAGGAACGATAGGCAAAACCTCGAGTCAAATCCTTATTTTTTTTCCAAGTCTGACACCATTAATATTCAAAACACCATTCCAGGCTGCAATTTTTGGCAAGATTTACTTTGAGACTGAACTAATGGATAAGATGCTAAAGGACATAAAAACCTTTTGAACCCAGTCCTTTGAGTTGTTGGCACTTGTGCTTCTTCCTCAGTAAATGAGACATGTCTTTGTTGTTTAATTTTGGCTGGTCTTGTAGTTGCTATTGTKAAGTCAGTGAAATTTTAATTGCTAGAGCATCCTAGTGAATCCTTTATATTCCAGGAAATATTTAGGATTACACCCTAGACACAAATATAAACTGCTAAAAACCTTTCATCAAGTTTAAGCTTGAAGCTATTGAATACTTTGGGTTGTTCTCACTGTCATGATTTTCTAGATTCTTCTTTCCAACACTATCCAGTTACTGAGAACTAAATATGCCTGCCATCATCTACAACTCTATTCTGGTTCAGCCTTCTTGGTTTTGGTTTTAATACTCATCTCTGACATTCAGCACCTCGGCTAACTCCTCTGAGTCCTTTGCCTAGCCTCGGGCTGACTACTCTAAATTATAAAGAGCAGTCTCTTTCTCTCTCTCTTTTTTTCCCTCTTTTTTTTCTTGCTGTTTTATTTTCAATTAATTGAAGCAAAGTAATTATACATATTTATGGGGCACAATGGGATGTTTCAATACATGTACACATTGTGGAGTGATCAAATCAGGCGAATTAGTACATGTTTAGCACGTCTTCCGATCTTTTAATATCATCCTTTCTCTAGAAAATAATCCATCTCGTTTTATTACCAGTGGTTTGTCCTAAGAAGCATTAGCGTCATTATGTACCTTAGCAGCTACTTTTCTCGTATTTTATAATTTTCTTTTTTCCTGGAGCAACATCCCAGAGCCGTCTTGCTGACGTTGTTCTGGGGAGAGACACCCTCCCTAAGGCTGACCAAGCCTTCCCTTCCTTTCATTAGCGGTATAACCCTGTTTCCGCTGGAGCCTGTCACGGAAGTGTAATCCTCTAGCCGGGGCCCTCCTGTCATCTCGCCTACCTGAGAGTTGAAAATAAATAAAATATAAAATAGTAAATATAAGAGAAACCAGGACAGCTGCTGTGCGCAGGGTTTGGCCGTCTCACTCATCCCTTGGCCTCTTGGTGTTGCCCCCACCTGCCCCTTCCACGCGATCTAAGATTCTGCAAAGAGAATTCCCCTGGCCTGGAACCAGACTCTTCACTACTACCGGTCCCCCTCTGCTGGGAGCGTAGAATGACCACCAGGAGGCCAGAACAAAACACTTAAATGTTGCCTTTATTAAGGAAATGTTAAATAAGAAAAAAAAAAAAAAGGTCAAAAACGGCTTCACAGATTATCAAGAGCACTTTTGTGGCGTAAACCGTGCAGTCACGAGCTACGAGTTCTATTCTGGGTCTTTGTCCTTTAGCTGGAGCTCTAGTCTCCCCAAAAGACCCATTTGGAAATACACTAAAAGAAACAATTCACCCCAGTCACATTCGCAGGCTCCCCCTCCCCCCACCCAGTCTCCCAGGATGACAAAACTCTAATCCCCAGGCAGGCAAACAGGCCACTAGGGCAGAAAAGACTTATTTGTATTCAAGCAAACTAGCACAAATTTCCTTAAAACGGCACGTTACAATCAAAGGTTTCATCTCTCCCCGCCAGGGCTGGGGTAGGGGGGAGCTGGAGAGAGTGGGCAAGAATTCGCGCACGATTTGAATGTACCCATTAGGTCTCTTGCGTAGAGTATAAACAGGTCACTTTTCTGGTCACCAGGTGATCGGGACTTCTAGGTCTCTCCCCTGCCCGCCCTCTCCAGCTGTCCCCAGTGCTTGGCCCACCTGCGGGTGGAGAAGGGCTTTCGTCCCGTCGGTCTCCCCGCATCCCACGCAAACAGTAGCTTCCAAAGTTTTGCGCCCTAATCGCTCCCTTTTGCCACCTGCTGCTGAGTTCAGAAGTCAGGGCTCTCTCCTACAGCCAGGTATGGGGACTTCCAGTGGGCTAGAGAGAAACGGATCGCTTTATCCCAAAAGGCAGAAGTCGGGAGAAATAATTGACTCCGACAGGTTTGCTTCGCCCAGTCTCTGACCGCGGTGGACTCAGCTGGGCTGGAGAAGAGCGGAAGGACGGGGTGTGCCTGCTGCTGTGGCCTGGAGGACCCATCAATAGGGCCCCACGACCACCGCTTCAACCTCTTTAGACGGTCTCCGGTCCTTCACCAGAAAGTTGATCATGCCCTCGGACTTGATGAGCAGGTTGCAGCCTAGGAAGAAGATGCCGAAGACCACCGTGAGCGAGAGCACACACATGACGGCGATCTGCACCACGCGCATGATGTACAGGCTGCGCTCGTCCGGGCCAGCCTCCGCGAAGCCGTCGTCGGTCACCACGGATGCCTGGGTGCAGCAGCGCACTGCGCGCTCCAGCGCCTCGCTGCTGTTGGCTAGGAACAGGCCCGCCACGTCGGTCTGGTTGCCCAGCGCGGGATTCATCACGGGAGCAGGCAGCACCCAGGGAGGCTCGAGTCTGAGTGAGAAGGCGGTGGCACGGGAGGAACAGGTGCCGGGCAAGCGCTTACTTGTAGACTTGCTTGCGCGGGGCTGGCTCCTCGCTCTCTCCTTTCGAAAGTGTCCGGACTGTGAGAGTTTCCCAGGAGCTTCTCTAAACGCGCGCTGCAGCCGAGCTCCTCTGCGCGGTCCGCTCCTGCTCAGCCGGTGCTTGTTCCCTGCGCTCGCTCGACTGGGGGCTGTTGGAACTTGGCGGGGCTGGGCCAAGCCCGGCCGTGGGAGGTGCGGGCCGCGGCGGCGGCGGCGGCAGCGACCCGGTGGCTGCTCTGAGCGAACAGCGGCCCCTTCCGGCAGCCGCGCCGCCCTGCTATTGGGCGGTAGGGAAAGCAAAAGGAAGAACCTTTTCTTGCTTTGTTTCTTTTGCAACTCCAATGGTCAGGCAGAGGTCACGGTGCACTTCTGCTTTGGATAATCAAAGAGTTTGTGGAAAAAGGGAGCAACCAATTGAAAGTTTCCGAGGAATCCGGCCATGCCAGCTGTGTGCGTCCTTTGCCGGCCACCCCTCTCACTTTTGGGCAGAAAGAAAGTGGCGAAAATGCTGCAGGTGCCAGATGCTGCTGGCGAATGCACCGGGCCTTTGCCTGAGACTGACTCACTCTCCTGCGAAGGCTTTCTAGTGGAGTGTAGAGTGTGTGTGTTCCCGGGTGAGGTGTCAGGTGGAGTGGGGCGGGGATCTGGGAGTAGACCCCCCCCCCCAGAAATCAAAGAAGGATGAGTGGAGGAGGGGGAAGGAAGAGGGGAAGGAAGAAGAAAGGGAGGAAGGAAAGAAGAAAGGAAGGATGAGCCTCCTCCCCATTCCTCTTTACAAAAGCAATTGTCAGAGCAAAATGAGTTTTATAGTGGTTTTTGAGGCCAAGGAATGAGGTCAGGGGAAGAAGGTGTTCTTCTGTGACCTTTGTGTGAAGGTTGCCAGGAACAGGGTCACCTCTCTGGAAAAGGAGGTGGACAGAGTGATCACGTGCTTGTAATTTTAATTGCAGAGGAGTTTTTGGATGTGCATCCAGTGTTTTTGTCTGTTGGCAATAAATCAGCTATTTAAGTAAATTGGTTATCAACATCCATCACCTAGAATGCTGGCCAACTGCTGGAAGCCTTCCTTGTGCTTCGTAGCAGATGCAGTTCATTCTTAGTCATTGTAAACCAAACTGCAGATGTTTTAGGGGCCTGGTTGAGGCTTTCAACCCATTATGGTTTTGCTGTTGGTTCTGGTGCAAGTTAACATCCCTAGAAATCAGCCTCTCTTCTCTGACTTTGCTTTTCTGAATTCATGTTACTTGTTTCTATTATTCATTTTTACAAGCCTGCCAGATTAAGTATTTTAAGATCCAGAACAACACTTCAAGGATACCCCCACCCCAACTTCCTACTTTCTTTCTCCTCCCTTCTTGATTCTTTAATCTGTAACAGCTAGAAAATAGTAAATTGAAGCCCAGTCTAAACTTCTGATAGAATACTTTTACTGTTTCTATTAAAACACTGTATCTGTCTTGCATTTTTCAACACTACTTTTAATTCCATTCTATTTTTTTATTAAATCCCCTGATATTTTACTCCCCAAGCATCATTTCTTCCATATTCAAAGATTTCCTTGAATGTTTTTCCACTATTTCATGACCAAACATGAATTGAACTGCCTTTTTTTAAGAGTTTTCAATTTTTGGAAGCTTTATTGTGTATCAGCTTCATTAAGTTTGATTCATCTAAGTATCTATTAACATTCTGGGGAAGAGAATGTTAGCTGAAGGTAGCAGAGGGAGAAGTTAGCTGAAAACTCAGCTTCTGGGCCTCACCCACAATTCACTTGGTTTATTGTTTTAGTTTTTCATGATTCAATCAGCCCTGAAGAATGTCTGACCCTTAACAAATTTTTTCTTTGAACAAATTACTCTTAATTGAAAAGAATTTCTTTAAATCTCACCATACAGTTTGTCTGTTTTTGTTCATGTGGGTGATGCATAAGAATGATAGATATATTTTTCATATAATGTACATGTAAGAAAATCATCAAAAATATTAGACAATATAAAGTAATGGTAAAATAAATGATAGAAGCAAGTGACAGGAATTCAGAAAGGCAAAAGGTCAGTGAGGAGAGATTCAGTAGGGATGCTAACTTGCACAGGATTATGTAGAAGGTAGTTGTGGTTGAACAGAGAGGGACTAGTTAGCCCCTTCTTTATGTAACCAATAATTAGTTCATAGTATATTTGTAAGGTCCAGCATGACAAGACCAGAGATACTACCCCCACAAAAACAAAACAACAACCAAGACAAACAAAAAATTTAAAAAAAAACGCTGAAAATGTTATTTGAATAATTTTCAAAATTTGAGTATATTTAGATCTGGGATCTAATATATTTAGATAGTGTCAAGAGAAGTAAGGCAACACTGTTTCTTTTCTTTCAGCTGTAACTATTAACCAGCCACAAAATTGCTGAATCAGAAGATAATGCCAATTCCACATAAACTTAGATCTCCAGTTTGTTAAAAATAAACAAACAAAAATCAAAGAAAGAAAACAATAGTTTTGTTTCCTTTCTTTCCCCCATCCCTCTTCTTTTGTTGAGTAAAATTGCTTGGAGTGCTCAAATGGAATTTCACCATAAACCTAGTAGTACAAAAATTACATTTATCACTCAATCCTTAGTGGATATAAAGAAGCCTGTATTTCCAGAACTCTCATTTTTTAGAACTTCTCTACAGAAAACTTTTATTTATCTTTTTCTTTTATATTTTGGGTACAGAGGCTCATCTCAGCTCTACTTCTGTTCTTCCCTTGTTTCCTGGAAAAGTCTTACAAGTGTAGGAAAGAAACCTTTAATAAATGTAATATAAAAATCTTAATATTCAGAAAATAGGGGGTGATTTAATGTGAGAAACATTCATAATTCACTTTGTGTTTTATATACATGGGAGAACTCTGAATGTAGTCAACAACTAACCTCTTCTACTTCACTGAAATAAATAAATTTGATTGTTCAATATTTCATGATATATATAACACAATGACAGAAACACTTGCTTACTCTTTCTGGAAACTACATCTTTTACATACAATGAAGTTCACACAGATATTCCAGGCCAATATTAATGGCAACTGTAATCTGGAGCTTGAATAGCCTTAAAGTAGGACCAGATACTTTCAATACCAAAACCTTTTTCTAGACTCTTTATTTGTGTATATTATGGAAATATTAAATATACATTTAAAAAATGAAAGTATAAGATATTTAAAGTATATTTATTTCTTTGGGGCAAGCATTTTTTCCTAAATAAATTACACTGTATTTCACAAGATAAGCAGGATAAAGAGTAAGAACTCACATTCAGAAGTCATTCAGAATAGCAATATCAATACCTGAAATACAAGAAGAAAGTCAGAAATAAGCAGCATAGATCATTGAACCACCAAAGTAGCCAAACAAATAAGCTCAGATATTTTACTCTTAGACTGACTTCTTATCTTCTCTCTCATAATCTATGCACTTTGATTTTCCATGCAGTTTTAACTCTCGTTTTAACTGTTTTTCTTGAGGGCAAGTTATTAATATCAATACATGGTTGAAAATGAGGAAATAACTAGAAACACAGGTGCTTTTCTGACAACCAGTAGTGACACCAGAAGGAACAAAAGAAAACGTTAAACAGCATGCACAGATTTTCTCAGAGCTGAGAGTATTAGTTTGGACACGTTTAATATAGAGGCAAATGTCTTTAATGGTGGGGAGCCCAGCAAAATGTGTAAAGGCATAGTTTTGAATCTGGCTGTTTTCACAAGATTAAATCAGAAATTCTGGGGAATGGAACCAGATGATGACTTCAAATTGTACTACAGAGTTATAGTAATAAAAAACTTAATGGTACAGGAATTAAAAAAAAAATCCCACTAGTGGTGGGATATTGGGTAAGATTTGTGTGTCTCATTTACTTATCTATAAAATAGGGGTACTCTTCCACAGGATTTTGAAAGGATTGACCTATTATTATATGAAAATAACTGGGAATAGTATCTAGCACATAGTAAACCTGAAATAAATATAGATTGCAATAGTTTCTTAAAAACATCAATGCCCATAAGTCATTAAAAGAAAACATTAAATTTGCCCAATATTTTTCTTTTTAGAAGCCTGGAAAATGAGTGACACATTTTAGGAAGATTTCCATGTAAGGGGATTGAAGGATATAGAGATATCAGAGCCCTTATGTATTGGTGGAGATGTGGAATGATGTAGCCACTTGGGAAAATAGTACATTCTTAAAAGAATTAAAGATTGAACACCTATATAATCAAGTAGTTCCACATCTAGGTATATACTCCCCCAAATTGAAAACATGGACTCAGACAGGTATTTGTAAACCAATGTTTATAGCAGCATTGTTCACAAGAGCTGGAAGATGAAAACAACACAAATGTCTATCAATAAATGAAACAATAAACAAAATGTGGCATATGCATAAATAGTATTCAATTTTAAAAAGAAATAAAATTCTGATACATGCTACAATATGGATGAAATTTGAAGACATTATGTTAAGTGAAAGAAGCCAGATACCAAAGGATATAATATTGTATGATTCCATTAATATGAGGTACCTAGACTAGCCAGATTCATAAAGACAGACAGTAGAATGGTGGTTACCAGGGGTTGGAGAGAGAGGGTAACAGGAAGTTATTGTTTAATAGGTACAGAATTTCACTTGGGGAAGATTATAAGTCTTGGGGGTAGATACTGTTAATGTATGCACAATAATACAAATGTATTTAATGCAACTGCATTGTATACATGAAAATTGTTAAAATGTCAAGTTGTATGTTTTGCATGCCTTACAACAATAAAAAATTTAAATAATTCAAGAAGACCTAACATAGATTTATACAGCTTGGGAAATTCAGAAAAATCAGAAAATAATCCCCCACATTCATTCATCACCTTCATAGCTCGAAGATAATCATCCTTAGTAATATAAAATATTTTTTTCTTGTCTTTTTGCTATGTTTTATGTAATATAGTCATG